GTGAAAACTACATTACCCATGATTCTGCGGGGGAAATCTCAAAAATTGTCAGAATTGTGAGATAAAATGTCTATATCTCGTAATTCTGACTCTTTTTTTTTCTCTCAACTGCAAGGTTAAATATCTCACAATTCTGACTTTATTTTCTTCGAATTAAGACAAATTTACAATTTGTGAGATATAAAGTCTGAATTGTGAAATTTAAACCCGCAATCATGAGAGGTCAGAATTGTGAGATAAATTTGCAATCACTTTTTTAAATTGTCTATATATATCACAATTCTGACACTTTTTTTCTGGCAATTGCGAGTTACAAATTACGAATTGTGAGGTTAAAACTCACAATTTCATTAGTATTTTTTCATTTGTATCCCATAAACCCCTATGGGAAAAATATTTCCCGACGATTGAAAAAGTGGACAAGCACTGTTGCGCTCTTTATGTCCCTCCCCAACTTCTTATTTCAATAAAAAGTATGTAAACACAGTAAAGAAAATGTGTTTGGAGTTTTAAATATGATTTACCTTTTGTAGCTTCATAATTAATCAACAAATCCCACACAAGGGCCAAATACAGGAAAAAAAAAACAGAAGCATCACCAGTTTTGTTTTCCTGTCCTGAAGCGGTATGCACAGCTAAACTACTTTATCTGTCAGCACTGCAAATACAAACTACAACAGGGAATTTAAAAGGGATGTTAATTAACACTCTTTGTAAATAATAACATGCAGCATGATGTACCCACACAAAAAGAGGACAAAAAACACGTTCACAAACGCCTGAGGTTTTCTACCTCTTCTAAGACACATTCACTTTGTACCTAAACTCACTAATGTAGTCACATATGACATCATCAGTAGAGGTAATTCTACACTCTGCACCGCTTGCATGCTCTTGTCTGGAACACCACACTAACACACACTGTTATTCTAAATATCATCACAAATATAGGCCCTTATACATAAACACTACCGTTCAAAAGTTTGGGGTCGGTCGAACTCAATTTAATTGACTTGTTAAATAAAAAAAATTGACCTCAAACTTTAGGACGGTAGTGTATATATATATAAAGCAAAGGTATAATAGTGTATGTAATGTAATAGTTTATAACAAATATTAAGCTAATAGTAGATATGATAAAAAGAGCATTGTGTGAATGCAGTTAGTCATTAGCAGTTTCTGGAATATTAAATCTTTGGCTTATTATCAGCACTCTTGTACAAGTGAATCTCATTTTGTTCTCTCTCATCTTGATCTTTTGTAAAAAAGCTAATGACACCTAAGATCCAAGACATGTGCATTTTAAAAATTTCATTTCGCTCTACGTACTCTGATCCCCATGTTTAATCATGGCCTACGCTAAGATCTGTTCTGCTTTTTTGGAATATGCTAACTGTTCCACCCTTTTTTTGAAGGGTTAGTTTTTGAAGTATCGCCTGGCGATGGGAGAGAGAGATCAAATCAGGTGTACTTGGAGCCTGAGGGGGCAGGTTGGATGAAAAGGCCAAGCATGTTAATAATGTTAGACGGTCTCCTCCTTCATTATAAACATATTTTAAGAGGACCAGAGCTCCGTGGGCATGTACGGGACACTGGGAAATCAAGAAGAAATGCTTTGAAATTCAGAGCTTACCAATTTGGCCGATAATAATGACTGCGTGACTGTTCACCTTGATTTTTGATTGTGTTTTTTTTATTCTTTTTTATTTCTCCAATTATGAATAAGTATAAATATTTCATTCTTGTGCTGGAGAAGTTGAGAAGTATATGATCAACCTATAGGGGTGTCTGAGGAAAAAGGATGGAAATCTTACTTTTATATACATTTCTACGTGAATCATTTAATTCACTAGTTGTTTTGTTTGAATGAAATGAAATTATGGCATTCTGTTGGTCAGTTTAGAATTTGCAATGGAATGTATATAAGGCCACATTTTGTTTCTACAGTTCGATTAACAACTAAAAAATGGGGTGAAAGAATGATGAACTGCAATTTAATGTATTAATAAATAAAAAAATCCTCTCCCGTGGCCTTATGGGATAGTAAAGTGTCGTATGCACACTTCAGAATCTCGCCGGAAGTGGTAGGTCAGGTCATCCAGTACTTTTTTGCCATTTACGAGCACTCTGAATCCGGACATACTTCTTTTGTCACATACTGCTTTTTGCCTGCTATATAGTAGGGAGGTATGTGATTTAGAATGCAGCCAATAACTTGCAGTTAAGCCGTGTGTCCACCAAAGCAATCCCTTGGATAGCATATTTTTCCAATTGCTTTCAATGGGAGCACTGCGTTTTTAAAAAGTGCTCAGCGTTATTTGCTTGTTGCCGAGAGTTGAAGAATTTGTTCAAGAATGAACTTTTGGGTAAAAGGCAGCAACCATCACTGTCAGCACACATCACTTTTTTTACCCAGCCATCCAATCACAGTGGAGGAGGGGCGGGACAAATATAACACAGACGCACCGCCACATTCTGCTTGTATAACGTCAACAGGCGACAACAAACATAATAACGGAACAAAATCATTTAAAACCAGAGCCAGATCAAAAACTTTATATTGAATCGATACAAAACAGAAACAATACAGAAACTGTGAAATTGGATGCTAGTAACACTTCCGCGGATATTCAGCTAGCCGTTTTCAGCAGAGCGCCTAGTGTTTTCAGCTGGCTAACAACTTTTGGTGAAGTCAGTTAACGAAACTGAACAAAAAAAATGTTGGTTTCAAAAGAATCGTGTCACTGAGATAAAAAAATAAATAAAAATGTCCAATTAAACCCTAAATCACAAAATGTAACCGGGAAATATTTCCTCATAAGGGGAAATGTACAACTAAGGCCTAGGCCTACTTGTTTAGGAATGTCCACTGTGGGGCGGGGCCATGTGTTTGTCAGTCCAATATTTTTGCAGTTCCATTTGGAGAAGGTAGTGACAGTTCATCTTTTTTGCTCGGAAATTTTATTGAGAAATAATTAAGTGTTCAGAAAGGGTTGAGGAAGCAAAACCAAACCTGAGATAGTGAATCTAGTTGCCGCCTTTTTGGCTAGTGCTCAAGTGTCACGATGCTTATTAATTCCAGTGCAGAAATGTGTATTTCTGCCAAGGCCTTGAGTCCTTTAAACTATAAAAATAAATATATGCTTACATTTCATTTCAAAGCACTCCGTAAAGGCAAGAACATGGCATATGAAGAACTTTACTCTAGGATAGGAAGCAGATCATTAAAAGCAGGGGAAAGATTAAAACAGGATCTAAAAGCACGAGGATACGCTCGCCGTTGGCTACTCGTCTCTTCAAAAAAAAAAAAGGAGAAAAAAAGCTCCTCAGACCCCTGCACTCCTTTGCTATTTGAGTACTTCTCAGTGGCTCAACGCTGGGCTTCGTGCTGTGGAGTTTTGTTTTGAATAATCAATCAAAAAGAGCTCCGCGACAGCATCGTATGCTTTCATGCACAAGCGAAGCACAGATGAATGAGGAACGCTGCGTTTCGCTACGACGTTTCACCATCTGTCCCTCCCGTGGTCCTCCTCTGAAGTCCTCATGGCATCAAACTGCCATGTTTGGGGCCAATTATACATAAAAATGCAAATACTTCAGGGAGCTGCCCAAAGCCGGTGTGAAGTATGTAGTGGTAATTACCTGATGTGGAGTCGTTGTAGAGTTAGCATCCCTTCAAGTGTGGAGAGGCGTTTGACAGCTTTGACCAAAGAAAGGCTGGTAGAGGTAGTCTGTTAACTCATTGATGATAGACTCATGGATAATAGAACAAAGTGTTCATTTTAATTATAAACAAAATGACTGTAAGATGACGCCCGTCACTCATGCCCCACTTTACCCGCAAAGGCGCCATATGCAAAACGCATGCGTGCCTTTTGGTCTTCGAACCTTCCATCTTTGTGTCTTGGAGGCATAACGGACTTTTAGGTGTCTACGCTCAGTCTTATACTGATTTGACCATTGTCTTGGCATGTCTCTTCTTTTTTAGACATATTTTAAGCCTCTAATCACTGTCAAAGACATCAAGGAGTTCATGTCGCATGCATGAATATATCATAAATAATTCTGTATAGAATAAATCAATACGTCGTAGGGCACTGTAATGCCGTCGTGCTGTCGTTAATGCTGTTTACTTCTACTATTTATTTTTGCAGCGACTTTTAATTCAAAACAAACTGCAGATTTCTTTTTTTTACTTCCAAAACAACACCTTTAGGGTTCGTTGTTTAAGTACGTACCATTTGCACGACGCTATTTCAAGTCACCTCAAATACACTAGGCTACAGCGAAGCGAGCATCACAGCGACTTTTGAAGATTGGGTTGTGTTTTTAGATGGGAATCTAAACAGAATAATGATAAATAAATATATTGGTTAACGCATCATAATGTGATTATACGAGCGTGGAAACATGCAGTAATTACCGGGACTCGTCCATCGTAGTGGTAGGTTGTTGATCCTTTAATACTTTGAGAGCAAATGTTGGGTTTACGTCAAATGAAGTCAGAAGTTTTGTTTTTTTCTCTCTCAAGTGTTTTTTGTACAGACTGTATTTACAGCCTTTTTGAAGTTTGCAGAGGTGTAGCAAAAAAAGCCAGGGATGGTTTTATCACCAGGGATGGTTTTCGTTCTCCACAGACAATCGGGCCGAATAAATCCGCACACTTTTGAATTGAAAATGTCTGATATGAAAGTTTCACTTTTAAATTATGTAAAAAGCCTCCTACTACAAGCCAGCTGGGAGTACCTGCCACACGTTCTTCAGTTCCTGTATCTCTTTCTTCCCATTAATGAGATGTCTCAGGATATAGTTGGTCGGCCTAAAATGCCTTTGGTGGAGTTCTACGGGGAAGGAAAACTGGGAATTTAAGTTCTATCCCTGGTGCCAATCAAGTCATTTGCCCTCTCACAGATGTCCTGCAGTCACGGGTCCCTTGTCGAATAGAATCGGCTGATAGCTTTTATCAATGTTGACCGCTTTGGCTTTCATATCTTCAACAGATCCACCTCTGGGGGCGAGTCTTCTCCCAGTTCTTTGTTGACAGGGGTCAATATGTGTGCCACTGCTGTATCCTGAGATTAAAAGGGAAGTGAAATGCTCTGAAGGTATGTGTTCTTTCACAGTACAAATCCTGAACCTCTAGAGGTGGGAACCTTTCTTGATCAACCAAGATTAAAAAAATGTTTCACTGTAAGAAGCGCATGAGGCCAGTTCTGTATACACTGTAATGAGGACAATTTCACACAAAAATAATAATAACCAAAGGTTTTTGTAAAGGACAGTCAACATTTACTTTTGCGTAATTGTCTACCATGCATGCTAAATGCGTAGTAGATAATATATAATATATAGTATATATATTTGCAGTTAATTTGTACCTAAATTGCCACTAAACCCACTGTAAAAAGGGAAACATTGCCTTATGAAGTAAATAAACTTGATGAATAATTGAAGAAATTAACTTGTCAATTCAACTTAACTTTTTTTTCAATTACGCATCGTTGATTTACTTAAGTTGACTTAACTTAAAAAAGCGAGGAAACCAATTGCCTTAACATGATCACTTTTTTACTGTGTAGCTATAAAGTACATCCTGCATCAGTTTAAAAGTCTCTGTTTTAAAATACTATTATACAGAGGGCCACAGTTATGGAAAGTTCATCCACTCAGTAAGGGTCATTCATTCCCACAAAACAGTGTTTAGTTCTTTTTCTCTAAGCCGCCTTTGTTTCACACCCTTCGCAACTGTATTCCGCACTGACGAGGCCTCCTGGTATCACCATTCGCCGTGGTAATGGATAGCCATTTATAATTCATAGAGCGGCTGGTCCCCAAGTTAATTTTGCCCCGGGCTCTGTTTATTTCTGCTTTGTACTTTGTTTAAAGTCAGTTGTTGACAACTCTTGAGCATGTCAAACTATCACCGCTAATAATTGCTTAAGGAGATGGAACTTTCGCAAATGTTGGTTCCAGCACAAAAATACATTCTCCTCAGCCCATCGCGAACTCTCTCTGATGAATTTTTGATTCCTCTCCTTCTTATTCTTAACAAAGATTCCTCTGTAATTCAAAGCAATAGCTCTGAGTGAAAGAATAAAAAAGAATAATGTAGCATTATCCTCAGAACACGGCTCCTTTTTAATGTGCGGTGGGAAATTTGTCAAGCGTGGCTCTTTTCACTGCATCTCTTTCTCTCATTCGCTCTCTCTCTCTCTCTCTCTCTCTCTCTCTCTCTCTCTCTCTCTCTCTCTCTCTCTCTCTCTCTCTCTGCTTTTTGTTATTGACCAAAGGGATGAGGCAACGCTAGCAAAGGCAGGTGGATCTAATATGCAGGCGCGCTGTTATATGAATGCAGCCTACGGCAGTACCTATTTCTGTGGGTCAATGTCGCTTCTTTTCTGATCGCGACAGTCGCTGCACGCGCCCAGTTGCTTGATTAGTCCCAATTAGACGGGCTGTCACTTTCCCCCGGTGCGCGGGACCAGGGACCCACCCGTCCTCAGCGCTTCCCGTCTGAATCGGACGTGCGCTGCACTGATTGCTGTAGGCTTGGGGGATGATTTTGAATGCGAGGAGAAAACAAAAGAAGCAAGAAGACGCGCAAAGACTTGACAATATGATCTCTCGCGTACTTCCGAGACGTCTGTAAAAAGAGCGTATCATTTCTCTCCCTGAATATCTCCTCAGGGTTTATCCTTCCTCCCACAAACAGCGCCTTCCCACGTCACCTTGTCTCCCTGAGCGCTCAGAAAATAGCGGGAAGGGCTTCGCGCGCTATCGTTCAGCAAAACTATAATTGTTTAGGAATGCTGAGTTTGTGGTAGGTATGAATAATTGATCCCGTCGTCTAATTCATAATCATTAGACCACTTTTAATACTTATACGGTTGTTGATATTAAGAACAGGCGATATACTAGGCCACCTTGAAAAGCGAGAGAAAGGAGAGCCACGGCGACAAAGTGTTGTCAACACATGTTTACTCAATAAGGGAGGAGTTTGTTTAGCTTTTTATTTTCAAATCTACTTATCTTAGTTCCTTTATATACCTGTGTTGACTTTAAAATGAAGTTTTCGAGCGCTAGCTGTTTTTATTCGGCTCCGCTCGCTCAGAATAGCGGACTCAAAGCAAGAGTGTTTTCTGTGACTAGCTGAGGTTAGCTTTTATGTTGCTATCTGCAGGGGAGCAAACAGTAGCGCGAGAGCAGAAACAAGTCGTGGAGTCTTTATATTTAATTCTATTAAATATTCATGAGGATTTCATTGTGTGTGAAATGTCAAAGGGTGTTTATCTATTAGCAACGAGGAGGCAAATATTTAAAACAACAAAGTTTCGGAGTGAATGTACAGCATAGCAAACCTACATGCATGTGGTCCTTAAAGTGTATTTTGTCTGCGAAAACGGGCCTGTGTAGCAGACTAAAAACCTGTACGCATTTATCAATTCGCTAATCAGAAATTTAGCATGTGAACACGTTCAGTGTAGTTTCTACTAAAGGCAACCTTGGTAACTATCCGCTGATGCATTTCTCTTCAGGCGAATGTCTGTCAGGCCTTTCATGGCGGGAAAGGCTGCCCCGCGTGCCCCTGTCTCAACTGCCCTGGGGAACACGTCACATGTGAACAGGACGGCTGGTTTTGGTGCTAATAATTGCCATCTCCGGCAAACGCATGCATACGGTGATTAAATAAAAAAACTCGCTGAACCCAACTCATACCTCGGAGGCAAAACAACACACACTCCTTAGAGATGAAATCGTTGTGCCCTTCTCCGTGCGCTTTGTGATTTAGGGAGGCCTGAGATGTGGAAACAGGACTTGCCTCATCATAAGCTTATTAATTCTGCTGTGGGTTATCAAACGTGATCAGGAATTATAGATCGATATATTTATGTGAGTATAAAACCATAAAGAATACACACATATGGGCTTAAATGTGTCCGAGAAGGCCTTTAGACCCCTACGGACATAATAAAAAATAGTCAATGGATTGCTGGAAATTGATTTATGTGTAATATTGTTAGGCACTGATTTAAAACAAACCAGAGCTGTATACATGTTTGAAATTATTTATTAAAATTAATGGGACAAGGGTTGGGAGGTATTTAAAAAGTGTGTTCAGTTTTTTTTAGGTGTGTAGATGTATGAATGTATACTATATTAATTGAACGTGTTAACCATAAGTAAGCGGGTTAATAGTTTGTTTGTTTGTTTTTTTATGGAAAAAAAGCCCAAGACCTTAAATGCAAAGTAGCATATGCTATATTAAATGTACAAAGCATATTTTTCTGCACTTTGGCTGTAATCATATTTTTTTAAAGTCCCTATTTATATAAACGTGCATTCATGTAATAAAATTAGATTTTTTTTTTAGGTTTTTAATTTTTATTATGCGATTTTACAAATTATTATTATTATTTTGTTAGAGCTTAGAAATTTTGACAGAACCTGCTGTAAGAATTATTATCCCCTGAATAGCTGGAGAAATTACTGACTATGTTAATGTATGTAAGTGAAACATCACACTGTTTCCAATTAATATGTCATGCTGTGCGCGCTTTCCTCTGCAGTCGCTCGTCCTATTAGTGGATTAATACCCGCGCTCTATACCATCCCAATCATCAAGACACGGGTTAATTAAACATTTACATACAAACACTCAGCAATCTTTTGTCCTCTGTAATTTATACCATCTATATGCTTTTTATCCAAAACAAAAGGATGGGCATTTGTTTGCCTCAAAAATACTAATTGGCACCACGCTGACTCGCTGAAGTGTTTTGTGGCGAGGATGAGGAGGGCAGCTTGATTCACACTCTGATGTTTACAAGCGCAGAACAACTAAGGCAGAAAACACACTTTATGCAAGTATGTAAATACATATAGTCCAATGCATTGCAATCTTTTTTTATGTGGCAGTACTAAACCTCAAGGGGGCGATAATGCTACCTTCAAATGTCATTAAAGGGGTGGTTGATTTCGATTTCACTTTTTTCATTTTAAATAGTGTGTAATGTTGCTGTTGGTGCATGCACAGTATCTGCAAAGTTGCAGTGCTGAAAGTTCAATGTAAGCAGAGATATCGTCTTTTAAAAATCAGAAAGTTTAATGCCTACAAAAACGACTCGAATGGGACTAACGGGTTTTATACGTAACTAACCCATACATTTCTATCAACCCAAAAAGGACATGGCAATGTCCTTCTGCAGCTCGTTGAGTGTGTTGTGTTCACCCAGCTGTCAGGTCTTCTGTGTTCGGGCTTCCCACGGACGTTGTAGTTCGTCAACAATGGATACAATTTATGTTTGATTATGTTCCTGAAAATTACAATTGTTAATTTACGTAATTTATTTTTTTATTAAATATGTTTTATCTTGTGTTAAAACTGTTATTGTTCACATCGTGCTTGAACAATGTTTTTTATTTACCACTTTAAACCCATTTAAAAACGTTAATTGTATTATTATTATTTATTTGTTATTATTTATTTTGCACAATTGTGACTTTTTATCATAATTTTTACTCTCAGACACTTTTTTTAAATCTTAGAATCTCATAATTATGACTCTTTACCTCATAATCATTCATTTTATGACCTAATTATGTTTAGTTTTTTGTTATAACGGAAATAGGATTTGTGGTGATTGGGGCTTGACATTGACTGAATTGCTTTGAGAAGAACGCTATGTGCTTCCTGCAGTTTTGCATCACTTTTTTTTTTCTTCCTGAACAACATGCCAAACCGGCATCAGTTCACATGAGACATGCAGAGAGACGGCAGGGTGGGTGATGCTTGACTCAAACTAGCACTTCCAGATGCATGAAATCTCCTTTTTTCTTTCTATGCCAAATGCCTCAAAGGATACGGGTGGAAATGGAATTACGTTTATTGTTTTCCTATAGTTCCTCAGCCTACTGAGAGAGCAGGAGTGGGATTTTGGCCATTGGCAAAGACAGTAAAATCTTTCATCTTTTTTTTTCTCCACTGACTCTCAGATTCTGATGTGGAGATGTGTTTCTGATCAAACATGGCAGAATAAACCAATCATATAAGTTATATGTGAAGTGATGATGATGCGTAGCCTGTTAAATTGTTACTTTAAAATCG